TTTTGAACACGTGTGATAAAAAGATTCCCGATCTCCCAGCAAACAGTTCAATCCAAAGACGGTTCAATCCGATTCAATCTCACACTGAACAGAACCAATACAATAATCACATATTGCTCTAAAAATGTACCATGAAATAAAGTTTTAACGGTTGTTCATGCGAGAATGTAGTTGTTTAAAACTCAAATCCGCTGTTTATTTCTAAAGATTGTGCGTATTTTTAAATGTCCTTTGAAAATTGCTGACATGTCCACCTCCAGGTCATGATGAGCGCTCATTACCCGTGTACCTGGCGAGGGCAGCTGGTCCTCGGCGACTTGTGTGCCCCTGGCTAATCTGAAAATGCTCATTTTAATCACGTTGGATTTAATTATTATTTTCTCTTTCTGAAATTATTAAAAAATAACAGCTAAATTCTTCTAATAAAATCACGTTGGATTTAATTAATATTTTCTCTTTTTGAAATTATTCAAAAATAACAGCTAAATTCTTATAATAAAATTGATTAGACTTTATTACAGACATTTTTAAATTAATTTCAAAGCAAAAAAATGCCCTAAAATCAGGAAATTAATTTCATTAAATAAACTGTACATAATATTATTAAAGAGCCCATATTATACATGAAATAGGGTCATATCTTGGTTGTAAGGGTCTCCAACAACAGTTTAATATGCATGCAAGGTCAAAAAACACTTTCATGGTCTTATAATCTGCATTTATTTTTACCTAATTATCCCAGCGACTCCTGTTTGAATCGTTCAGGGATTCATTTGTTCCCAAACCCCTCCTTAGCGCGAAGCTAATCTGCGCTGATTGGACCGATGACAGTCTGTTGCGATTGGTCGACTGCCTTCAGTCAGACAGTGAAATGCCAAACAGCTAATCAGCAATATAAAAGTAATCACAGATCATACACGCTCGATAGTGTAGGCGTGGATTTTAGCTGCCAGTGGGTCAATGTAAATACAGACTATGGACTTGAAAATACAGACAGCTAACTATTTTATTGAGCAAAAACTCCAAAAACAGTTGAGGAGATCTCCTAGCTTCTCACTCTGCTCTTTTCACAGACACACACACACATATTGCACACACTCACACACACACACACACATACGCACTTAACCCTGCTCCGGACGACAACGCGCGCGCACACACACACACACACACACACACAAAAACACACACAAACACACACACCTCCGGACGACAGCGCGCGCACGCACACACAGACACACACACTAACGTCTCTGTTAACGCAGCACGCGTCGCGTTTTTAACGTGACTTTGCACGCGATAAGAGAATATAGCCAGTTAACCTGATACAGTACACGCGGTTACAAGTAACAAATCACAACTAAATACATTTGCAAGCTAGAGTCAACGAGGCAACAACTTTAACCGCACGTACTTACACTTGAGAAATGGAGGAAGAAACCCATCCTGACGTCCATCAGTAAGTTACTGATCCTTCCTTTAACAAACGCTGATGAAGTATTCTTTGTAGCATGTAGCTTCCAGAAGTTTCCAGTAGTTTCCAACTGCTTGGCTATAATGCTGAGGTTTAATCTTTGGGTAGAGACTCAATATATCCATCTGCAGTGTGACTTCAATCGACCGGCATGTTTGTGTGTGTGTGTGTGTTTGTGGGTGTGTGTGTGTGTGTGTGTGTGTGTGTGTGTCTCGGTTTCTGCGTCAGAGGGCGGGGCCTCAGGTTTGAAATCTCCCGGGTTTGCGCGTGCACGTGAATAACTTGGTTTCGTTCGTACGTCATGGCGAAACACCCAATGAATCCGTATCAAGGCGACTCGTTTGAAGCACTATGAGTCGACTCTTTTTTTAGATGAATCAACCGTTTTTAACACTGTACACTAACAGATTTAAGCCTTAGCTGGATACTCCACTTCACTTAGAGCTGTGTTACACACTACATGGAGGGGAATTTTCAAAAACCCATAATATGGGCTCTTTAATGAAATCTACAAGGCCACAAAATGACTTTTTACAGTGTAGGCTAAGCATATTTTCATTAATATTAAAACACATTAATACAAACTAGCCACCTTTTTGATTTTTTTTCGTTAACGAATATTTTTATCAAACAAAAAATGCAATGAATTGTTTATTTTGATTTTCATTTTATTCAAATGAATAGGCCTATAATTTATAGGCTTAACAAATATCTTTGGCTCCCATTGCGTTTTTACAGATATCCTACCAATAGACTTTTTTGGCTCAAAGACATTTATGCCTGTTTTCAGTGGTGTATTTTGACAGATTTCGCAAAGGCTTCATCTATTCTACCTGTCAGCGAGAGAGAGAGAGAGATCAGTCCTCAGATTCGATGTGTGGCCGCACGTCTCGGTTACTTTATTGCAATTTTTAATATTGGCTCATCTAAATGAACTTTTCATTCGATTAAATATTTCCAGACAGACGAAGCAACTTTCGGTTTTTGAAGAGAGCGGCCTCAGTTATAAATGATGCGCGCACACACGGGATGCGCTCTTGTTGGCCTATTTATTATGGATTTTTTTAACATTAAACACATAATCAAGTGGAAAAAAGAACAGCTGAACTTTGAAAAAAGTGCTCGCGTTGCCACGATGTTGTTTTTCTGCAATTGGATTGTCAAATTGCTAAATCACTCGTTTTAATAAAAAAATAAGATATTTATTTTTAAACATTGTGCGATGATGGTCGCATGATTTTTAAAATGACAGTATGCATTGCGTATTTATGGCCATTGACCTCTCCGCGACCCACCCATAGTTAAACATGAAGGTGCGTGTATAAATTAGTTATGTTTCCAGATACTGCCACCTTTGTCAGGCAAAGTTTGCAGATTGCCTCATTAACGTCTTCAGGTTCTCTTTTGCATTTGGGTTGAACCCAAAATATTGCCAAACAGGCCCTTTTGCATTGCGTTTTGACAATAAATCGTCCGCCATCTTCTTTCTGTAAATTCGAGTCCTCTTTTCTCCTCACGTGATAAATGAAATATGACGCATTGTAGCTATGTTCAAATGATAATTATAGAGCATGCTCTTGTTTTAAGTCAATTATTTATAATTATATTTTCCATTTATTTCAAATAAATGTTCAATAAAAAACAAAAAACGAATACTTAAAAAAACAAATGTGGGCACGGTGTCACGGTGGAAAAGTGATTTCCCCGGTGTTGCGTCTTAACACCGGTATCACTGTCAACACCGTCTATCGTGGCAAGCCTAGTGGAGAGTGGCTTCCGTCTGGCCACTCTACCATACAGGCCTGATTGGTGGATTGCTGCACAGATGGTTGTCCCTCTGTAAGGTTCTCCTCTCTCCACAGAAGAATGCTGGAGCTCGGACAGAGTGACCATCAGGTGATTGATCACCTCTCTGACTCGGGCCCTTCTCCCCCGATTACTCAAAGATGTCTGACCATCTCTAGGAAGAGTCCAGTGGCCTCATGCATCAACGCTGCGTACGCACAAAAACTTTGCGTACGCCAGGTTTCACGCTCAGAATCGCTCACGTTTGGATTTACTAACGATGAACTGAACGTGGGAATGTGCGCAGCTCCACGGCAGCTTCATGGCTGGCGTACGCACATTTTTTCATTCATTGGCGACTCCTAGAGGCAGTTGTGTTAAATTGCTCTCTACAAAGTGTCTTCTCAGCTGTATGAGACGGGTTCATCCGCATGTCTAGTATATAAGGTTTCTGTACCATACAATTGACCATCCAAACTTTAAAGCACAATTTGCAGCGGTCGGGACCCTATATAGACAGGTGTATGCCTTTTGAAATCATGTCCAATCAACTGAATTTACCACAGGTGAACTCCAATGAAGCTGCTGAAACATCTCAAGAATGATCAGTAGAAACAGAATGTACCTGCGCTCAATTTAGAGCTTCACTGCAAAGGCTGTGAATACTGATTTATGTGTGGTATAGTTTTTTATTTTTTATAAATTTGCAGCAATTTAAAAAACTCTTTTTTTCACATTGTCATTACGGATATTGTGTGTAGAATTTTGAAGAAATAAATGAATTTATTTTAGAATAAGACTGTAACATTAAAAAAATCTGTGAAAAAAGTGAAAAAAATGAAGCGCTTTGAATACTTTATGGATGCACTGTACTTAATTATGTTTCATGTAAAGCAACACATTTATTTTTTTGTGATCAGAAGCCCATCCTATGAGAAGAGGTAAATTTGCAAACAACACTAGTGAATCTATGGTTTAATAAAGCTGTCAATTAAATTTTTATGTTTATGTTCCGTTCACTGATCACATCTGCACGCTGAATTTAGGAAAGTCTGGTTTGGGTAGTGAGTGATTTGGTCAGGTACATATTTTATGTCCTGAGAAAACCTAAAGTATATAAATTTTTTTCTTAAAATACACATCTCAGGCATCAAGAGTAATGTGCAACAGTGTCTCTCACACACACACACACACACACACACACACACTATACACCATATAACTCCAAATAAAAAATAAACTTTTTTTTGCACTACAACTGATCAACAGTAAAACTTAAAACATTTTCCTCTTTCCAATAGGGAAAACCCCCAGCAATCAACAATACTTGATTATATGGTGTCATGGCTTTGCAATCAAAATTGTCATTATAATGGAAGTCAATGGGACAAAAACAGCCACCAACATAACAAAAGTTTCAATCAAAACGCCCTAAGTGTATATAGTTTTTTTTTTTTTTAATTGCTTGGCATTATCCCAAAATGTTCTCTAGTGACTAGATTTAATATCTTGATCTCTAACAAACCGTGAGTAAATGTTGATGTAGTTTACGTAAGTGTGTGAGTCGGCTAATAAATTAATCAAATGCTCATGTTGAAGGTTTAAAATGCTTCATTAAATATTGTATGAATCAACAAAATTCTGCTTTTTGCTTGCATGTGTTCCATCACACTAACCCACAATCTTTACTGTACTTTTCTGTTGTTTGTTTGCTCATATTTTATCTGTTCTTCTTCTACAGGTGTGCCTGGTAATGTTTCAGCATCTGTGAAGGAGGGACATTCAGTCACCGTTAATACAGATGTTAAAAGAAACCAACAAAAATATGTTAAGTGGATTCTTAATAACATTACTATCGCTCAAATCAATGGAGATCTTGGTTATACTTGTACCGATGTTCAGTGCAATGATGGCAATCAGAGATTCAAAGACCGACTGAAGCTGGATAATCAGACTGGATCTCTGACCATCATGAACACCAGCACTGCAGACTCTGGAGATTATTATCTAGAAATCAACAACAACACATTCAGCATCATGAGGAGATTCAGTGTTAATGTCACTGGTGAGTATCCTTTGATCACTCAGCACTTTTAATCATACAAATGCACTTTTGCTTGAGAATTTTTAAAAATAACTGTACCATGTTTTCAGTCAACCCAGAAAATTATAAAGTGAGATTTGAAAAAATATATACATCTCATCACCTTCACATGCATGTTAAACTTTATACAATACTTATAATAGTATACAATTTTCTAATTTAATCTACTAATAATAATAGTTAAAATATATAAACATAGAAAAAAGTAGAAAGTAATGTCAACTAAATATTATTGCTGAAATTTGGAATTAATCATTCAGTAGTAATAATGCCTTTCTGTCTTTACCTGTCCTTAGATTCAGCTCATCCAGAAGAAGGGCCTGCTGTTACTGTCTATGTGCTGATAGCTGTTACTGTCTATGTGCTGATAGCTGTTGCTGTTGTTGGTGCTGCAGCAATCTTATATTGGAAGTGTTGTAAATCATCAAAACAAAATGGTAAGTCATACATATAAATGATTTAACAAAATAATTTTTGTCAAGATGAAAATCTGTTATGCTAAAACAAATCTTTAAACATTTTTATATGGTTGCTCAAAGTAATGGTTTATTATAATTGTGCAACCAGGAAACGGGACAGAAGAACAAGATACTAAGGTATGATATTATATGCACCAAATCTCTTAGGGTGCTTTCACACCTGTGAATCGATTCAGTTGTTCCGAAACAGAGATTACAAATGTTACATTGATGCTCATTGCTCTTGGAGCGGTTCGCTTTCACACTGCTAGAGAGGTGGTAGTTTAGTGGTGTTTGACAAGGTGAGCAAGGCTTTACATTAACTTTTTTGATCAACAGCCACTGTGGCTAGTAGATTTCGAACATTACTAGCCACTTGCCATTTTCACTAGCCTCAATTTTGTTGTTTGGAAAATATATTTTATATAAATAAATGTGACTTTGACATGCTAAAATGACTTGATTTAGATGTTTTGGTGTCCTTGATCAGCAGTTCCTACACACAAATGGTTGGTTAATCTCATATTAAAGAAATGTTATTGTAAAGCATGATAATTAGACTATATTACAAAAATAACTGTAAGCAAAAGAAAGCAGGTAAAAACATACCACGAGTGATAATAAAAGGATGATCACGTGCCTGAGAATAATTAAAACGAAAGCAGTGACTGCTGCTGTTGCTTACAAATATAATATATATATATATATATATATATATATATATATATATATATATATATATATATATATATATATATATATATATATATATATATATATAAATTATTTATTTATTTTTTTCCAATCTTGAGCTCTTAAAAGCAGCAGCCTGTGGGTACACGAGCATCGTTTTTTGTCCAGTCTTTCACAGAGGACCCATCGCAAGTGAATGGAAAAAAAGCTGAAGTAAACGGGAGCATCACCTGTGTGCGCGAATAATCATCCTCTCATACGGTATTCACCTGCTTTGTCTTGCGCGAACACAGTTATTGTTTTCAGTCGTGCTGTTTCTCGATTCTAAAATCACATTTGCACGCATATTGGGCCATCCTTATTGTCGAACCCTGCTTTAAGAAAACTACAATGTAAAAATTATTTACAACCTGCCAAAGTGGCTAGTGTGAGCGGCTGTCAAACTCGCCAAAGCTGAAATCTACCCGCATTTGGCGGGTTGGCGGGTGTTAATGTAAAGCCCTGAAGGTGAGCATGACGTGTTTGAAGAGTGATGTGGTGGGAAGGGGCGAGAAGGCTGCGCGACGTTGCATATTTGAGGACCGGGAGGGAGACGTGAGATTACTTGGAGATCATCACCTGTTTGCGTGCATCCGGAGACTCACGAAACTTCCTGCCCTCTTCCTAATTCTCTCTTCATATAGCCGTAAGCCTATTACATATCCATTAAACACAGTGATATAACCGCGTTTGGATCGTACCGCTCTCTCACTGCAATCGATCCGCTCCAGAGTTCGTTTCAATCAAGCCGAGACCACCTCACTCAAGCAATCTCGGAGCGATTGATTTGGCACGGATCCTAGCGCGATTGGTGGTTTCACATATGCCAAACGAACCGCGCTAACTGGGCAAACGAGACACGTTCCGAAACATAAGTGTAGGTGTGAAAGCACCCTTAGTCTCTCAAAAAAGGGCATCTGTGTTAAAATAGTGTGGTTTAGTTGGCATTTGTTGGTTTTAAGTTTTCCTTTGTTTTAGCACTTTAGTATTTTAACCGTTTTATTTATTTGATTGGTAATTAGAAATTTTTTTTTTTTCAGATGAATTCTGTAAAATCTGAGCTCCTTTACTCTGGACAGAATGCTGCTGCTAATGAAGTGTCCGGAAATCCTTCCACTCAATTATTGCCTGCTGACAAGAATGGATTGGCTAATGGCGCATTGTAACATTATTTTTATTATTATTTGAAGGGTCCTGCTGAAAAGTTTACATGAAGGGAAGTGCCACAATATTAGAATGTCAGCAAGGGGACAAGCGGCAGCTGCAACAAGCTAGTCAAAACCAAGTTTTTACAAAGCCATTTAAATTCAAGAAAAACCAAAAAGTGCCTGATGTTTTTATGCAAGAGGGAAGGGATTACAGTTTCTAATGGGATTCAGACAGAAATGGGGTTTAGGTTTAAACGCAGTCAGATAAATATGAAATTCTATTTTCTAAGTGTAAATTCACACACTGTGATCAAACATTTCCACAGTTAATAACCTTGTAATTTTGGCAAAGTATTTTTTCATAGTCATATTGGTTTAGAATTATCCTTGCATTATATTTCCAACTGGTTAAGTTACTGGTTCGTGTCGGTGCTTCTAGAACAACAGCTGGTGGCAAATGTGTTATCTTTCTAATGAAATAATATTAATAACTAATTTCCTCTTTTTGGGAACCACACCTTGCAGCGCCATGTATTTTATAATTTAGAAACCGGCCACTTTATTAGGTACACCTGCAGATTTGTCAGCTGCACATTTCTATATGTGAATCTCTTGTTCCACCACATCCCAAAGGTGCTCTATTGGATTGGGATCTGGTGACTGTGGAGGCCATTTGACTACAGTGAACTCATTGCCATGTTCAAGAAACCAGTCTGAGATGATTCATGTTTTATGACATGGCATTATCCTGCTGGAAGTAGCCATCTGAAGATGGGTACACTGGTCATAAAGGGATGGACATGGTCAGCAACAATACTCAGATAGGCTTTGGTGTTGACACAATGCTCAATTGGTTCTAATGGGCCCAAAGTGTGCCAAGAAAATATCTTCCACACTATTACACTACCACCAGCCTGAATCCTTGCTACAAGACAGGATGGATTCATGCTTTCATGTTGTTGATGCCAAATTCTGACCCGACCATCTGAATGTCGCAGCAGAAATCGAGACTCATCAGACGAGGCATTTCTGCATTCCTCAGTTGTAGCGAGTGGTTATTTGAGTTAGTTACCTTTCTATCATGGCAAAGATAAAATAAATCAGTTATTAGAAATGAGTTATTAAAACTATTATGTTTAGAAATGTGTTAAGAATATCTTCTCTCCATTAAACAGAAGATGAGGAAAAAATAAACAAGAGGGCTAATAATTCTGACTTCAACTGTATTTACATTTTTACTGCCTTTAAGGGTTTATGTATTTGAGAGGAGATGTGCCTTTAAACAATGAATTTCTTGCAGTAGTGCCTTAACATCCAATTTACTCATTGAACTAGCTATAGCTCAACTCCAATAGGTACTTTTAAATTGATAAATTATACATTTAATAATTTAAAAGAAAAAAAATATGAATTATCTCCATAATTTCCATGTCATAGTATAACACTATGCATTTCTAGTGCTTGGATGGTAATAAATGCACTGAAAGACACTAATGTTTAAGCATTCACTTTTTCTGATCAAATAGAAACACAGTTTTTGTCATGTGCAGTTTAAAAAGGGAGTATTGTTACTTTTTATTATTTTTGCTGCTGTATTTTTTGCTTTGCTGCTGAATTATTTAAAACTAATGAGACAAATATATATATATATACTGATCTTGTGTACGAATGTACCTTTTTTTCCTTTTTTTACTACAATTGTTCAATTTATCACATTGCTTGTAGTTTATGGTGTCACAGAAGTATTATTTTCTTAAAGTGTTTTGTACTGTAGTATACTGATTAAGCTGAGCAGAAGTGTTTATATCTCAGTTTATATCTCATGGACCTTGAAAAAAACAGCTTATGCAGTGATGACATCTCTTTTCTGAGTGTATTCCCTCATATATGAGTTTTTAGATATTTTTTGTTCAAACACCGAATTATTAAACACTTAAAACATATGCACATGTTATTTTGTTTGCTGTAAAACCCATATTTTTGTGACCATTAGTGCAAGTTGCAATTTTTTTTTTTATTGTTTTTGATGACCAAGTTATTGCACAAGAGTATACCATGTGTTTGCCATTGTTGGCATGGTTGTACTGAAGGACTTGGGAATCTTGACGTCTAAATGTATGGAAAGGTCATTTTATGCTAAAGGAATGTGATAAGTTAGTTTCATGCCTGACAAAAAAAAAGCTATTGCCTTAAGTTCTTCTGTTCTTCAAACTGACTTTATTGTTTGTGTTTATACATGCATATTGGCTTTGTTGTTGTTTTTCCATTGAATAATACAACAATATTTGGGCCTTCAGTTGTAATGCATAGAAAAAGTTTTTAAATAAATTTGTTTCGACTGGAATCTATGTGTTTGTATGCTTCTGAATGATTTTAAGAAGATATTGATATCAAAAAATGACACTGCTAATAGAATGTCGAGTCAACACACCGATGCGCTAAACTTTCACATTTAAAATGCTAGTGTATGCCTTCAGAAGTTTGTTAAAGGGGTTTAACAGAGCCCTAGGCCCAATCAGTATTTTATATAAATTTTATACTGATAACAAAATGGTGATTTTCTTGAAAATGCGAATTTATGTCAACTGATTGTAATGGGTATTCTGAATGTTTAAATTCAATACTTAGTTAATTAGAATATGGACACCTAGTAGTGCTAATAATGATGTCTGACCTTGGTAAATCCCACTTTACTATTATAATTTATTCTGAATGGTCTAATGTTTCATACATTATTATTATTATTATTTTGGGGTTGTGAATTGCCTTGTGGCCAAATTAAGGTATCATTTGATTTTAGATGGTGTTTACATCTGCTGTCACTGAAGTCAGGTTGTATAACTCACTTCTTTAGACAACTATACTCCAAATTCATCACTTTTAGAAACTACAAATTCTTAATTTTCTGTATGTTGCTAAAACACTTGACAACCATATAGAAGTAGACATTCAGCAGAGGCTGCCCAGCTCTCAGATATTAATGGGATAGTTCATCCAAAAATTTAATTTACTGTTTACTCTAATAAACCCTATTTCAATTTAACCTCACAAGGGAAGTGCACTACAGAAAGAACATATGGGGATATAATTACAGAACACAAATAAATGTATTGTTATGAAAACAATCAAGAAAAAAACATTTTGTATTTATGAAGTGTTTCACACAGCTGAGTAAGCTTGACAAACCATCTGTAGAAACCCTTTTACAATTTGTAGTTTCAACAGTTCATTTGTGTAAGTAGCACTTCTTGTATGTAATGCCTCTTGTTGAATTGCTGAATACCTCCTCAATTGTAAGTCGCATTGGACAAAAGCATCTGCAAAATTTAAATGTCAAACATGTAATACACAAGTAAGAATAAACTAAAAACACACTCTCTCTCAAACAAATACCCAATGATAACTTAAGACAAAACCAGTAAAAAAGAAAAAGAAAAAGCCCAACAAATTACAACTCCAAATCTAATAAAGTTGTGACAGTATGGAAAACACAAGTAAAAAATAAAGTAGTGATTTCCAAATTTACTTTGACTATTGCAGACAATATGAAAATATTTAATGAATCACAAAATATTTCATGTTTTGTCTGGTCAACTTCATTTCATTTTTAAATATGCATCCTTCCCTGTCATTCAGACCTGAAACGCATACTAAAAAAAGAGACCGAAGCAGTTTAGGGCTAGTAATCAGGTAAATAGGTTAAATAATGAAGTGATTTAAAACAGTTAATGTCAACAGATTGTAATTATGATTTGATACAAAAGCAGCATCCAAGAAAGGTCTAGTCCTTTAAGAGCAAAAATGGGCAGAGGATTGCCAGTTTGCCTACAAATATGTAAGAAAGTTATTGAAATGTTTAAAAACAATGTTCTTCAAAGAAAATAGGAAGACATTTGGATATTTCACTTCAACAGTGCATAACACCATTGAAAGATTCAAGGAATCTGGTGGAATTTCAGTGCGTAATGGTCAAGGGCACAAGTCTAAGCTGAACAACTGTGATCTCAGATTCCTCAGGTGGCACTGCATTAAGAATACTCATTCATATTGACAAAAATATCAATTGTGTCTGTCAGTTTTACTTTTAAACAACTACTTTGACCACAATGAGCCAGGTTTTACAAACTTTTCGCAGCATTGAAAGTATTCCCCTTGAAAGAATAAACTCAGTTGGAAAGATGAAAGAACAAACTCATTGTAAGAATAATTTTATGCAGTGGCGCACATCACGTCTGAGCAATTCGTGCGTGAATGAAGTGCTTGATGCATCACTGAGACACAGCACGCAGCCCTCCTGTATCTGCAGACACTTCCAAACTTAGCAGCAGTAAGGGGAGAAATCAGTGCATTGAGGATCTGTCCAATGTATTATTAAGCCTTTTCTAATTTAAAGTTTCAGGCAAGGCAAGTTTATTTATATAGCACATTTCATACATGGTGGCAATTCAAAGTGATTTACATAAACAAGAATAAAAGAGACAAAAAGGAGATCATTGGCCTATTTTGTGTGTGAAGAGCAGGTAATAACCCTCCAATGTTGTGAATGCGATCTGCTGATCTAACAGACACAGCGCATGATTTAGAAACTGCAATGATCTCATTTTTGTAGGTCAAAACGAACCCATTTAATGCAAAACTAAATGCATTTCCCTACTGATTACATATATTAACAGGAACAAATAGCACAGATACATTTTCGAGTTGTCATGAACGCGACACAGTTTGAAAGGAGGAGCCTTTAAACTCAACCCCATTACCTGACAGGCCTGATTATTGATGGTCGACTGATATTCTGATCAGTAAATCAGATTAAGGGGGTGGGAACAATGGAAAAATAAAGGGTTTTCGAGATATATGTGTGGGTTCGAGATAAGAGTTCTGGTTGATAATAGGTGCTTAGCTGGTGTAATAAGACTTATTTGAAAGCATAGACAGTTTGTTAAATATTAAAAAAATGTTATAATACAGAAAAAAATATCCTTTTTTTGTAAAATAAAAGTAAATACTCCTCTAGGGTGATACACTTGTTAAAAAAACATAGCAAAGCATTTAATTTATTATTATATTAGCATTTAGGGATGCTGCCCAGGGTTGTCCTCTAAGGCCATAGCTCCTATAGCTGACAAGGATATCTTCATATGAAGATAAAGCTCCAAGCTTCTTCCAGATTTCAGTTGCAGTAGTTGGTTAGAAGTGTCATCTAAATCATGTCCTTCTTGCAGCAGAAAACTGACCCACTTCATTATGTTGTCATTGAACTCTTTGAACTCTGTCAAATACCTCTGTGTTGCTTATGTTTCTTCTCATTTCTAATAGCTGTTTTTTCAAGCATAGAAATATCAGAATATGTAAGTGATGATTTGTGTCAAATCAATGTCATTAAACCATCCAGGCATCACAATCTGCTTGAGCTCTCTGTGTGATAGTGTAGTTTTTATTGGTTTTCATTGGTTTCAAATTCTCATAAATGCTCTTATCTGTTTTAGCTTTTTTTCCTATTGGTGTAACAACTACAATTCCTGATAACAACATTTCATAATTTATATCTTCTTTCTTTTAGATGGATGCTGTAGAATCTAATCCCCATAACCCTGGTCAGCAGGCTTAGGTTGGGATGTCCAGTAGTTAGGCCAACACACCA